ATTGGGAAGGTAAACCACAAAGGAACTGTTTCAAGTGCTGAGGAGCAAGGATGTCTCCTTGAGGACTAAGGTGCGCCTGACAGAAGCCATGATATTTCTAATTGCCTCGTATGCATGTGAGAGCTGGACAATGAATAAGGGAGACTGAAGAAAAGTTGTTGATGCTTTTGAGTTGTGGTGCTGTCCAAGAATGCTGAAAGTACTTTGGACTGCTAAAAGAACTAACAGATCTGTCCTGGAGGTAGTGCTCCTTTAATGCTCCTTGGAAGCAAGAATGGCCAGACTTCGTCTCAACTATTTTGGTCATGTTGTCAGAAGGGACCATTCCCTGGAGAAGGATGTCATGCTTGGTAGGGTGGAGGGTCAATGAAAGAGGGGGAGGCCTTCAACAATATGGATTGACATGGTGGCTGCGTTGATGGGCTCAAGTATAGCAGGGATTGTGGAGCTGGTGTGGAATTGGGCAGTTTTTTGTTCTGCTGTCCATGGGGTCGCTATGAGTCAGAAACGACTCGACAGCACCTAACAGCAGCAACATATACGTGCTCCTTAGTATGTGCAGCACTGTTTTGAATGCTTTAGATTTATTAATTGAATTAATCAATTTTTAATATATAGAAAGTTGCACTATAGTACTCAGTGCTAATAAACTTGCCTGATGTGATGCCATATATTATTATTTTTTATTACCTAAATTTAGCAGTAGCATTTTCCTTTTTTAACTTTGAGATTTTATTTTCTTTAGCATTGTACCTTTTATTCTTACCTTTCTATGAAAGTGGAGTCTTTGGGGGTGTTGGTACTCTACTATTAAAGGTTGGTGGTTTGAACCCACCCCTGAGGTACCTAGGAAATCAGTCCTGTTGATCTGCTCTCAGAGCTCATAACCTTGAAAACCCTGTGGAGCAGTTCTGCTGTTCTACATGGGGTTCCCATGAGTCAGAATTGACTCAACGGCAAGTCACAACAGCAATAACATATATGAAAGTGTTTGGTTTGGAGGAATCCAGAGGTGTTCCAAAAACCTAATAAAGATTGGGTTCAAAAAGGTATTTTTCCCTGCACCCTTGTGGAACTCATTTCTGTATTCATTATCAAAATGAGAAACTTAACATTTTTTCTTGCTTTATGTGGATCATAGGTGGTGATTTAGTTTTGGAGTTTTTAGTTCATGGAATTAAGTAAGAGTTTTTTAGTTAGGTACATTGTTTTTATTTTGTGTTGTATGTGATAATTGCCAAATGCTTAATCAAAAGGAAATGATAATCTCTATCGAAATAACTGTTTTCTTGTCATTCTACTTCTAGGTAATTATTATAACATCAGAAATCTCCTGAATGAGGAAAGTGTTCTTCTTTTCACTCAGATAAAAAGATGAAACATTAAGCAAACTTAAACATATATGTATATGTATATATATATGTATATATAAACTGTACAGTTGGTGCATTTGTATTTCTAATTTTTTGTGATTTTTTAACATAAAATTTTTATTCAGTTTAATGCTTACTTACATCAGATAAATATTTTCAGACTCCGAGACGTGTCTTCTGATTTTTTCCACAAATACTCTAGCGATAAGATACTGCATTGGGCAAATCTGCTGCAAAAGACTTCTTTAACGTGTTCTATCGCTTTGAGGACTAAGGTGCTCCTGACTCAAGCCATGGCCAGTAGTGATGCCCATATTTAGGATTGTATACTTCATGGAAGGAAGACTGGGCAATCTACTTCCGTAAAGATTTACCACCTCAGAAGTGCAAAAGAGGTTGCTGTGGGTCAGAATCTCAATGGCAGTGAGGTTTGTTTGTTTGTTTGTTTTGGTTTACAGTAATAACATGCAAAGGTTACCAAAATCACTGCTCCCACACAAAATAAATATTACACAGTTCTCTTTCAGAAGAGTTCTGAGTAATATGCCCATTTATTTAGAAAAATATTTTCTGAATAATTACTTTTAAATCATTAATTAGTAAATAACCCATTAATAGGGAGTTGTGATAAATGGTACAGCGAGACTCTCATCTATTTAAATGAATACATTAAATAAATGAGATGCATTTTTTTTTCCATTGTGTTTCTGCCTGTCTGTTAAATAGAAGCATTAAGCTGGAGACAGTGCCGTTTGCCATTGCTTTTTGTACTTCCTATTCTCCCCATCTTAATATTGAAATGAAATGTCTCAGTGAATAAATGTAAGCCAAAGAGTCTAATTTGTATTTCTTTTGTATAGATAAGTGTTATAATTAAAATGATCTCTCAAGAGGGTGATGTTTCATGGCAAATTATCCTTAGGCCAACCCCCTTTTTAAGACTATAGTTAACAGTTTAATGAGAGAGAGAGAGTCCACCAGAAGTATACATTTTGCAATAAGCTATTTATGGAAAAAGACCAACACATACATAGTGTAATAATAGAACACTGTTGCCAAACAAAAGGCACTGCTTTTATTTCCTGTCTACTTGAAATATATATATGTATATAATTTGTATAGAATATTTGAAATTTGTGTAGAAATATATTTCAAATATGTTTCCAAAATAAAATATATTCTTACATAGAGAAAACTTTAAACATTCCTTGCACAGAAAAATATTTCACTTCATCAAAATTATAATGTTCATTACTTTTGAATAGGAAGGTACACATTTTTGTTCATTCATGACATTGTTGATTGTGATGTGAATGAACAAATTAATGTAATGTGGTTTTAAAAAGGCAGCATGGTATTAAGGAAGTAAGTTTTAATTGAGCAATAATATAAAATTAATCCACTAAACTACTGAGTCTAGAATGTAGAAATTAGTCAAGTGGTATAGAAGCTAACATAAAGCATATTAAATAAGAGGAAAAAGCATTTTAAAATATGTTTAGCCATCATGGGGAAGCACAATAATATGTAGAGTAAATAAGTGATTTCTCTTTACACCAATTCTTGTATTTTTATCTTCACATTTCCGTAATTCCTTTGAAAAATTTATTAATTATTGAACATTTGCAATATATAGTTGAAATTTATTTCAAAGCATACAGATCGTATGTGGGATAGTGCACTAACCAATGAATATAGTGGGGAATTCCTACCTTCATCAATAACTTGTGTAATAAGGCTCAGCATGATTCCAATTCCAAAAGTTTAGAAATGGATTCAGAACTCACATTCCTACTTTTTCAGTCTCATCACTGGCTGCTCATAATTCTGTCCACCTAGAGCTGGATCAGAGCTCACAGACTTGCTGGACACCATCTTTCATGTTACCTGCTTATGCAGCATTTCTCAGACAAGTTAGAAGGATACCTTCTTTCAGACTGCTGGATAGGTAGATACTAGTTCCTGCTGGTTCTCACTGCCCTGGTGGGGCCTAGGAGGAGTGAGGTGTTAACAAGTTTCCTTCCCCCCATCTCCCCAAGTGTTTACTTCTTTTTGACCTCCTTCCCTAAAAATGGAGAATTATTTCTCTTTACTTTGTGACCAAATTTCTGTCTAATCATTAGTTCCTTAGGAGAAAATGTATGTGTATGGTGTATTTTCATACATTTCATTACTTATATGTATAATGAAGAGTTTTCTGATTACAAAATTAAATTTTAACTTGACATTGTCTTTATGGATTAGTCTAATAACATCATTCTCCTTGTAGCTTAAAACTGTTGCTGCTACATTACAAGTAATATTTTTGAGTTTTATTTTTTTTAAGGGAAAACCTTAACAATTAGATGGACATTAATTTCAGTAATACCTTTCAGTCTTTAAAGTGCAAACATATATTCATCTGTATGTACTTGTTTTGAGATTATCATAATATCTTTAAAATTTTTATTTTGTTAATATTATTTTTTACAGTTACTCTTAAAAAAGTTTGCTCAGTTAATAGGAACTTATATATTATTAATAAATTTACGTACAAATTCTGTAAAAAAAAATATTACTGAGTCTGTTAATCAGTGTATTTCCATCCTTACCTTTAAATTGTTTTTAGAGCAGACATTGATTTAAACTGAGTTTAATTTTTTACTATATTTCAGAATATTAAAACTAAAAAAGGAAAAATAAAATTATTTATTTGCATCTGTGACTTAGGGTATTTTAAGTCCTAAATATGCCTGTGTTGGAAATAATCTGAGCTCAACTTTGATACATGAACCAAGTATTTGTATATTGTTTAAAGATTATAGGGAGGTAGAAGTAGATGAACTTATTTTACCTTTTTATTATTGATTTTTTTTTTACCACCTCTCAAATATAAGCTTCAAGTCTTTCTGCCTCCCAAATTCTAAGCTCTATTGGAAGAAAATAAGAAAAAGGAAGATAAAATATTGAGTGTTCTAAAGACAGATTGTACTTACCTAGAAATATGAGAGTAAAGAAATGGAACACTACCCCTATAACCTACATTTTTCAAGAACTGACATACAAAAGCCTCTATGAATGTGTAATCAGATTGACAAAAAAATACTCAAGTACAAGTAAGCTGCTTTTTACTTCAGTGGTTTGCCAACGCATGTTTGTGTGAATATATGAAATGCCACAGTATATTTGTTGAAGTAATAGGTCATGTTGAACTTTATCAGGGTATTTTTATTGTGACTTAATGGGGAACTTTCCTTTTGGAAATTTTAAGGGAATATAAAATTGTGTGCCACTCTTGAAAAAACATTTATTGAATGCCTATAACATGCTTAATACTACTATGAAAGTATTAGATATACACAGATAAAATACAGCTTTAGTATAGATTACAGACTGGCCATTTTTAGTATTTACATAAAAAAGTAGCATAGAAGGCAGTCCATCAGACTGAAATTCTTTAATAAGTAGGTAAACCTCTTAATTCATGTATTGACAATCTGGCTTATAAAAATTCACTGTGTCTTTTTTCCTGCAGCTGCTGAAGATATGTCTCTGATCTCACACTAATTGCTCCTTTTCAGAAATCATCCTTCATGTTAAAAGGAGAATCCATGAAGATCATTAGGGTATAACTGAGACTTTTAATGGTACCAGAACTAAAAATATGTGAAAAACTAAAGATACTTGGGGAGAAAATGGTCAAATGTCAGAAACAAATTACTAGTCATTGTTTATGAAGAATGCCAAAGTTGGAAACCAAGAACATGCATCAGTAAATGGAAAATAGGGCTTTGGTGATAGAAGTAATGCCAGACATGGCGTGGTAGAATTTTTCATGACCAACAAATTACTCATTGAAAATATCTTTTCAATAACACAAGCAGTGATCGTACACATAGACCTCACTAGACAGAATACATAGGAATCAGATCTACTACATCTGTGGAAAGAGGGGATGGAGAAGCTCAGTTCAGAACAAGGCCAGGGGCTGACTGTGGATCAGACCATCAGTTGTTCACATGCAAATTTAACTTGAAGCTGAAGAAAATTGAAACGAGTTCAGAAAACCAAAATACGACACCTGAATTTAGAAAACATTTTGGGAGTTGATTTGATGCATTGAACACCAGTGATTGAAGACCAGAAGAGTTGTGGGATGACATCAAGGACATATGTGAAGAAAGCAAAAGATCATTAAAAACTTACTGCCATCGAGTCAAACCTGACTTGACCCTTCCTTGTGTTTCCAAGGCAGTATCACTGTGGAAGTAGATTGCCCAACCTTCCCTCTGAGGAGTGGCTGGTGGGTTGAACCACAAGCCTTTGGTTTAGCAGTCAAAATGCCTTAGGCACTATGCTGCCAGAGCTCCCAAAAGGTCATTAAAAGACAGTAATGGAAAGAAAAGTGAAATGATGTCAGAAGAAACTCTGAAACTTGGTCTTAAAAAATAGACTTGCTAAAGTGAATGGAAGAAAAAAAAAAGTAAAAGAGCTGAACTGAAGTTTTCAAAGGCCAGACTGAGAAGATAAAGTAGTAAATGAAATGTGCAAGGACCTGAAGATGGAAAATCAAATGGGAAGAACATGCTTGGGATATCTCAAGCTTAAAGAACTGAAGAAAAATTTCAAGCCTTGAATTGTAATATTGAAAGATTCCATGGGCAAAATACCAATGCAGGAAACATCAAAAGATGGAATACACAGTATCATGACAGAAAAAAAGAATTGTTTGATATTCCACCATATCAGAAGCTGGCATATGATCAAGAACCAATGGTACTGAGGGAAAGAAGTTCAAGTTGCTGTGAAGGAATTGACAAAGAAGTCTCCAGGAATTGGTGGAATACTCATTGAGATGTTTCAACAGACAGATACAGTGCAAGAGACACTCACTTGTTTATGCCAAGAAATTTAGAAAACAGCTGCCTGGCCAACTGACAGGAAGAGATCCGTATTTTTGTTCCCCCCAAAAAAGGAGTGGCAGTTAAGGTTAGAGGCCCCAAATCCCCAAGTGGCTGAAAAAGTG